CTGCCATATTTCTCTCGACCATGTTTGGTAAGAAATGACTACTCTTCTTATTTGTCTACTGTGGACTGGCCAAGTGCTTTTGATATTTGTGTTTATTGAATAGCCTAATTGAGCTTGTCTTCCTTTGCATTAGGAGAGCCTAGATATTTACTTATACACCAAACCCCAAAGAGGATAATATAGCATCCTTAAATGAAAGTAATCTTATGTTAAAGCCTAAGATGTAATTAACCATAGGGTCTTACACCTATAGGAAACAGACACCCACATCAAATAAACACAACTAGTGTTGATGTATCGAATTGGAGAAATCTCAAGATGTTATATATATATATATATATATATTATTAACCATCAAGGAATATAAGTGAAAGCGACTATCCTTTTTGGATAATCATATATATAATCTCATCTAGTCCCATATTAGTCTACTTATGTGGAGTGTAATGGCCTACGACCATTTTTTCATACGGAATCATGTGATTGTACCCATTACATTTTGACCCGCACTCACAACATCCTTTTGGAGACCCACAATGGCCCAAGGTTTTGAACTGTATGAATTTTTATATTCATTTAATTATTATTTGTATAATCATGGCTAAATCTACTTTTTGGTATTCTAATATGCAGTTGTATACTATGGTATATAAATTTTATTATAAATAAACATTTTAAAGGTGAATAAAAAAAATAATTTTGTGAATTACTTTCTATTCAATTGAAAGTTAATTAGTAATATTGTGGTACATTTTAAAGTAAAGAAATTTGAAAAGTTCTAAAACATTATCATGGGCTTCATTTATCACAAATCAACATGATATGATATGTTCTATATATGGGTCATTTTAGGTTGAGTTGTGATAATCCCTTTTTGGTATCAGAGTTGACATTTTGGGAGACTAATTATAAAGTTGAGCTATATGAATTTACTTATAGTCAAGTGAGGTAGTCTTGGGTAGTGTTGGGGTATCATTCTATTTTATTTTATTGTGAATGTTCTATTTAACCATGTGTTCTATGTGGTTATATAATGGATTTGTATTACCAAAATATGATAAATGGGAAAAGTGCTAGTCAAAAAAACTAATATAGAGTAGTTCTCTTGCTAATAGTTTAAGCTTTGAGATTTTTGGAGAGATAAACCATCAGTTTCAATTCCTAGCGATGATAGTACTACCTATTTTTGATGTTTTATTAGTGGGGAACCAACATGCTAGATCCATGGAAACAAACACTTGGTCAGTGCTATAGGATGACATTTCATTTCTTCTAGCGTGGCCACACTAGGAACAGGGTAGCCGAGTGTCTAAAGGTTGGACCTAATTGATATTATATGACTAGGTTGAAGAGTTCTATTAAATCTGTAGTTAGGTTGAGAATATGACAACCATATGCCATTGCTAAGGGACCTTCTAGAAGAAGTAGTGGTTCTAGTTTTATATTAATGAAGCAATTTGGGAGCAGTGAGAGAGATCCGAGAATTTATGTTGTTTTAGCTCTAATTCAAGCACATATATACAACTTGACTCACCATGAATCCAGAGATCCTCAAGATGTGGTTATAGGTAGGGATTATATTTATGATAGGCCCTTTCATATTTTATTTGATTCTAGAGCTAATCATTCATTTATTTTTAAAAGGTATTTTGAGTTCCCAAACTTGTTACCATATAGTTACCTTTTGTATTTGTTATTTTGCCAACTAGGGATGGTATGGAAGCCATAGAATAAATTTTTTAGTTTAACATTATTTTGGAGCTAGATTGTTTAAGTCAGTATATAACTCAAATTTATTGTGAAAAAAGGGTCACATTATTTTTTTAGCAGTTAGAGCTATTTAATTTTGGGAGTTAGGAGGGATATGTAATATTTGATATCTTCTTTTCAAGATGAAGAAGTGGTTATATGATATTTCTAGCATCTTTTCAAGATAAAAGTGTAGAATGAATATCTTTTCATGTTGTCCAGCTACTCTGGGAATTTCTTGATGTTTTTTCAAAGAAGTTAGTGAGTTTATCACCTAATATGGAGATTGAGTTCTACATTAACATATTTTTTAGCACTGATCTAATATCTATGACTCCAAATAAAATGGCACATAAGGAACTTCAAGAATTGCAGTTGCATCTTTAAGAGTTTATTGATCAAGATTTCATCTATCCTAATGTGTCTCCATGTGGAGCATCTATTTTTTAATTAAAAATAAGATGGTACTAAGTACATGTGTATTGATTATAGAGAACTAAATAAGTTAACAATTAAGAATAAGTATCCTCTACTAAGGATTAATGATATATTTGACCAACCTAGATATTAACATTTGAAGGTTAGAGAAGAAGATGTGGTGAAAACTACATTCAATATAAGGTATGGGCATTACAAGTTTTTAGTCATGCCTTTCGGGTGACTATTGCACTTGTAATATTTACGGATCCTATGAACATGATATTTAGGAAATATTTGAATAAGTTCATCATCATGTTCATGGATGATACTCTAATTTATTCAGCTTCTGAATAGGATCATGCAATATATTTGATCAACATTCTAGAGACAATGAGATAGTTCACTTAGAGTCTAAATTCTTTAAATATAAATTTTGATTGAAGAATATCTCATTTATAGGGAATGTACTGAGCAATATAGGTATCTCTATATATCTATAGAAAGTTCAAAATATTATTGATTGGTTGAAGCCTACTAATGTATTTGAGGTACACAACTTCTTAGGGTATTATAAAAAATTTATTAAAGGACTTTCACATATTTCTTCACCTCTAACAAGATTTACTTAAAAGTCAGTCGACTTCATTTAAATATTTGATTATGAAAAGAGATTTTAGAGATTGAAGAATTTTTTAACATCTTTACCAGTTCTGACAATCCCATTAGGTACCAATGGATTTTAGGTATTTAGTGATGCTTTATTGAAGGGATTAGGATGTGTTCTAATGTAACACAAAAAAAGTTATAGCATTTGCTTCTATTTAATTAAAGCTACATGAGAAGAATTACCTAATAAAGATTTAAAATTTGTTATTCTTTTATTTGCTCTTAACACTTGGAGGCGGCACTTATAAGAAGTTAGATATGATATATTTAGATCATTATACTCAAAAGTAAATATTTAAACATAAATATTTGAATCTAAGATGGACGAGATGGCTTGAGTAAATTAAAAATTATGATCTAACTATTTTGTATGAGCCTGGTAAGGCAAATGTAGGTGTAGATGCTTTAAGTAGGGAGTCATCATGAGAATCAAATATTTTGCTAAATTCAGATGATTTTTTATATATAATATTAAAAGTTTTAAGTAAAAAGTGAGTGCTTATGTTGATAAGGATTCATGAATTTTTGGCTTAGATGATTATCTAAAAATCTCTGTAAGAAATAATGCAGTAAGCCTATAGGTCAAATGCAAAGAATTTGAATAGTTGCAATCTAGATCCAAGTCTTGTGATTTTGATTATATAATATTATTAGTTTTCTAACTATGATATCTCCTAATAATTGAGTTTATTGCTAATATGTTTTGCCCTGCTCACTAACATTTAAGATTGACTATTCACCTAAAACTTTGATCAGCTAAAGATTGGGTAGGCTAGGATAAAAGTCTATATTTTCATTCTTTATGTACTTTTTATCTTTCTTGAGTCAAATATGTATTTTGGTAGATCCTAAAGCTGAGTAACCTTGCATACACACACACACACTCAAGGAGGAGAATTAGTGAGTTAGGAAGAAGTTGAGTTTTTGAATTAATCATATTGTATGATTTACATCATACTAGACGATCAGTTAACCAGAAAAATCATTAACTAGGGTACTTTTGTTAATTAGGATTAATTAAACTAATCATACTAAATGATCTTTATCGTATAGGATGATCGTTATAATCATGAAAATAGCCACCAATCATAATTTACCAAATATTTTATAATTCAATTTTTGTTCTATTCATACGGTATGCATCGTATTATATGATATATTATAATCAAAATTAAATAAAATCTATGATTAGAGGAACCATTTTGGTTAATTTGTTTGAGCACATTATATAGGATGATTGGTGATAATCATACTGTACAACCCCAGTGATGCATGGGATGATAATTTATCATTGCCTATCATATAAGATGAAATACCATATTTTTTTAACTAACCGTATAGGAAGTCCACGCCCCCCCCCCCCCCCCCCCACTTTTGTTAATTAGGATTAATTAAACTAATCATACTAAATGATCCGTATCGTATAGGATGATCGGTTATAATAATGAAAATAGCCACCAATCATAATTTACCAAATATTTTATAAATCAATTTTTGTTCTAATCATATCATACGGTATGCATCGTATTATATGATATATTATAATCAAGACTAACTTAAATATATGATTAGAGGAACCATTTTGGTTCATTTGTTTGAGCAAATCGTATAGGATGATTGGTGATAATCATAGTGTACAACCCGAGTGATGTATGGGATGATAATTTATCATTGCCTATCATATAAAATAAAATACCATATATTTTTTTAACTAATCGTATAGGAAGTCCCCCCCCCTCCCATTTTAAAATTGTACGAACCTAGCACTGCAAGGGATGATGATTTATCATCGGCTATCAAACTGAATGATTAGTACAAACTCTTAAACTACTTATACTGGATAATGCAATTTGTACTATCTAAAGTGCTATTTTATATTAATCATACAATACAATCAAAAGATTTAACTAGATAATCTTAATGACATATTGAAATTTAGGGTTTTTGAGAGGCTCTCTATTTAAACTCTCACTTAGACTTGTTCAAAAGCTTTTTTACTACTAAGTGTCTTAAGAGGAAACATAGAGAAGGAGTTTAGGAAAGCTTTAGGAGAGAATTGAGGGAGAGCTTTTGTGAGGGAGAGTTATGAGGGATTCACAAGGTTACTCTTTTTTTTTTTTTTTTTAAGAAATGCAGAATGCATTAAGTAGAAAAAAAGTATAGAACTAATTACAATCATGAATAGGATGATATTCTTCCTTGATTAATTTAGCCATCAAGGGAGGGATATCATCAAAAGAAAAACTGTCAAAGTAAAAACTATCATCTAAAGCCATAGTAGCACACAAGTTGGCTGCCTTATTACAATCTCTATAAGCATGTACAAAGACAACTTTATTGAAATCATTCACAAATAAAGAATCACTTACTAATTTGAAGATCACAGTACCTTTGTTCTGCTTCAAAGATTTTTGAATGTAGTTGATAACATTCATGTTATCACTTTCCAATATCACCCCTTTATAGTCCCTCATCCAGCTTTTGACGTAGTCCTTGACCGAGAGAACAGCTCCCATTTCCAACTGTGCAATATCCCAATGCATCATCTTCTTCCTAAATGCAAGAATGAATCTACCATTACAATCTCGGAAAACACCTCCAATCCCAGCTAATCCCGAAGACGTTAAGGAAGCATCAATATTGATTTTCATCCACTCTTTTGGTGGGGGGAACCAAGATGCTTGAGACTCCCTAAGGATATTAGTGCTCCAGTTAGAAAGAAATGGACTTGTTTTGGTAATTGCCACTGATAAAGCGTTAGAAGCCACCAAATAAGAAGGAAATGCAGTTTTTCCATGCTTTATCTCATTTCTATTTTTCCAAGAGAAGTAAGCAATAGTACAATAAATTTGTACAATACCCAGATTTTTAGCTGAAATTTTCTTAAGCTCCTTAAGACAATGATCAAGTGAATTGAAAATTGGGATAGGAATACCCCAGTTCACAAGCTGATTGATGATTTCAACCATATATTTGCATTGAACAATGATGTGCTCATAGTTCTCCACCGTATTACAACCTCTAGCACATGAATCGATATCAAGAAGCTTACGATTTTTAAGATACAAGTTGGTAGGAATAGATGCATTCCCAAGTCTCCACCAAAACATTTCCATCTTCTTGCTCAGCTTCAGCTTTTTGAGCCAATTATAGTAGCCATCATCAGTTAAATTGAATTTTCGTCTTAAAGCTTTTTCAAAAGCCAATCCAGAAATAGTTCTTCCAGGACAGAAATTCTGCATTTCCAGCATATCAACATTGCTGGAATTAATCTAGATATTGCTGATAACTTTCACAAGTTCTGGATGAAACCATTTCTGAAGCAAATTAGAATTCCATTGGCCATTATCCAACAATAAATGTTGAATACAAAGTCCTTCCAAGGCAAAACAATCAGCAAAAGTCAGCCATTGGTTGATACTTTTGTCATAGATCCAGCTATCATTCAACACATTGATATCTTTGCCATTACCAATATTCCATATAGTAATGTTTTTAAGAGATTTTCCACCATCAAGTAAGATTCTTCAAGCTTTAGAAGTGCTCTTCTTATGGGTGCCATTCAAGATATTATTACCATATTTAGCTCTCATAACTATATGAAACAAAGTATCAGGTTTTTGTAAGAAATTCCAAGAAAGATTAGCTCTTAACGGTCCAGTCTTCAAAGTTGGTGATTGTAAACCCAAGCCTCTCATATTTCTTGGTTTACAAAGATCTTCCCAAGCAATGTAATGAATACCATGACTACCATCATGCTTATTCCCATATAAAAACTTCTACAAGTTTTTCCATAGTGAGCAACACCTCTTAGGGATCATGGAGTGAGTAATCAAGTAGTTAGGCATTGTCAAAAAGAAGAGCTTAGTGATAAGAGTAACCTTACCACCTAAAGAAGAGAAATTCCATTCCCCAAGTATTAGCCTGTCCATCATATTGGTTAAGATGTCATGAAATCTGCAGCCCTTAACCGATTAAGAGAAGTTTTTGATCCCAAGATAATCATCTCCTTGACATTTTTGAAGTTCAAGACTTTAGTAATCTTTTTCCTCATCCGATTGCCAACAACATTACCGAACATGATTTGAGATTTCTATCATTGACCCTTTGTCCAGTCCACTACAAGTCATCAAAAATACGCTTCACCTCCTTAGCAATATCTTTTGAGATTGTGAAAAAATAATAACGTCATCAGCATATAAGAGATGAGTAATTTTAGGACCCGCTACTGGAGAAATTATTGAAATTCCAATATTAATACCACCTTCATGAATGGAATTGGAAAAGCAATTGAGAGCATAATATGTAAAGATAAGGGGATAATGGACACCCTTGACGAAAACCACTATAAGCCATAATCCATTTAGAATTTCTCCCATTAATAATAATAGAGAATCTAACATCAGTAATACATTCCATAATGAGTTTAGCATAACCAGTAGGAAAACCATACCATTTGAGGACATTATCAAGAGTAGGCCATCCCATGCTATCATAAGCTTGCTCCATATCAAGCTTCAAAGCCATCATTCCCTTTCTATTCTTGGAAATCTTAAACTTATGTATAATCTCCTGAGCCAAGAGACAATGCTCAGAATTAGATCTTCCAGGAATAAATGCCATTTGCTCCTCAGTAATTAGCTTGGACATACACGTCTTCAATCTATTGACTATCATAGTAGCAACAATCTTGTAGTTTGTATGGCATAAACTAATAGGGCGATAATTGGATGGAAGCATAGGATTTTTAACTTTTGCAATCAAAACAATTAGAGTGTCTTTCCACTCTTTCCTCATACACCCATTGGTAAAGAAACTATTGACAGCATTCCATAAGTCTTTCCAAACAATGTCCCAATAATGCTTATAGAATGAGGAAGTGAGACCGTCCATACCTGGGGAACGATTGTTACCTTGATTGAAGACAGAGTTCTTGAGCTCCATCACCGAAAATACTGAGTTAAGAGCCTGAATATCCTCATTATTAAGCTTCTGATGATCAAAAATCTGCGGCCAACCTGAAAGTTGACAACTTCTCTTCTTCCACTTAGATTCAAAATAATGAATAAGGACCTTTTCAATTTCTTCTTCTTCAATTGGCATCATGTTATGGGCATCTTTAATTTGATTTATTCTATTACCATTCCTTCTAGCCGTTGCAAAATTGTGAAAAAGCTTGGAATTAAAATCCCCTTCCTCAAGCCACCTAGCTTTGGCCCTTTGATTCCACCAAGTAGATAATCTCTTCAAGGTTACATTAAAATCATGAATTTTGATTCTAAGTAAAAGCAAGTCTTGAGATGTCCAATCAATACCCATAGCTTCTTTAGCTTGAAGTTCCAGAATTTCCATCTTCAACTTTACCTTAAGATCATTTAAGTCTTTGCATTTGCTCCTACTCCAAAAAAATAGAGCTTTTAAAGTTCTATTAATCTTCTTTTGAAGAACCAAGTCTTCCTCGCCCCGATCATTCCTCATCCAAGAATGATAAACAATGCCTCTACCCGCTAGATACATTCTCCAAGTATCTTCAAACCTTATGATTTTAGACTTTGCACCATCCTTATCGTTAACCTTGAAGGTAATAGGACTGTGATCCGAAGCCACCCTAGCAAGATGCCTAGTGGCGGCTGTAGGAAGTAATTTCAAGGCTGTAGAATTCAATAAACATCTGTCAAGCTGCTCCCAAAACCTGGAATTCCCTTCTTTATTATTACACCAAGTATATCTTGGTCCAATAACACCCACATCATGAAAGTCACAACTAGTCATAAAGTTCTTCATGTCTCTAGGTCCTTTAGTAAAAAGGAACCTTTTGCCTCCTCTTTTTTCATCTTTGTTAAGCACACAATTGAAGTCTCCGCCAATGATGGAAGGAATTGACCTTACCATACATTTATCCAGCAAGCTCCATAAAGTTTCACGCTCCTTACAGCATCTACTACCATATACGGTAGCAATTCTCCAAAATCCCAATCTAGGGATAAATAAGTCTCCGACAATCGCCTGAGAAGAAGTCTCAGTAATCACAAAGTTCCCAATCTTCGAATTCCATAAAACTAAAATGCCACCAGAGAGTCCAACCGAAGGGAAATGATAGAAATCCCATTCTTTACCGATAAGAACATCAACATCCATCCTATTGATATTACTTATCTTAGTTTCCATAAGGCCAATGAAAAAAACATCCTGATCTTTAACCACTTCTTTCAAATACAGAGCAGCTTCCCTCTTTCTAGCTCCTATGTAGTTCCAAAATAGAAGGAAAGACATTTAAGTAACAGAAGGGGAACTTACCCCATTCGTGGACACCATACGTCCTTCTCTTTTTTTCTTCTTAATTTCTTGATCAACCGGGCCCAATGATCTCAGCTCCTTGGCCAACTTTATTTTAGCAGAACTTGCCAAGTTCAATTTATAATCATTCACCGCATTTTCTTTCAATCCTTCCTTCCTCTTAATCAGCAAATTAGTAACATCATACTATAAGTCTTGACCTTCAATTTCATTCTCTTCATTAAGAATCTCAAAAGCATTATTCAAGCTTATTCCTTCTTTATAGTTTCCTGATTCGGCTTCTTTGTTTACATTGATTTCTTTATCTGCATTGGCTTCTCTAGCAGAGATTTCTTTCACCTGTAATTTCTGCACTTGCAAACCTTCTATCTGAATCTTCTTCCCTAGATTATCCTTACCTTTATTCTTGATAGCATTGTCACTTCTGTTTCCATCCAGATTTTTATAAACCCGTCTGTTTTTAAACTGGACATGAATCCAGGGACCATACTCCTCATTAGTCACTGCATTTTTAATTCCTCCTTATGTTTTTCTTTCTTCACTAGTGCTTTTTTCAGAGTTACCCATAGCTTGATTCTTAATACCCAGCACAACCTTCTTAGAACATGCATTTAATTCATGTCTTGCTCGACCACAGTGATAGCATAGTAAATTCAATTTCTCATATTCGACTCTTTGGAAGAATCTTCCAGCAAGACCATCAATCCAGACACCATTTGGGAGCTTTTTTTCCAAATCAATCTTAACACAAATGCGAGCAAACTCTCTCTTTCCCCAACGGAAAGTATTTCCATCTAAGTATAGCGGTGTGCCAATCCGAGAAGAAATTATCGCAAGACTGTCTTCATGCCAACAATACAGAGGTAGGCACGGTAGTCTGATCCATACTGGAGCTGAGATTCCTTTAAATGAATATGGATAAAATGTCGGAGACCATCTATCCATACCAACAATGTACCCATTTACATACCAGGGTCCACCATTTAAAACTTCATCAACCGCCTCATTAGTCTTGAAGGAGCATAGTATCCAATTCATACCGATAGAGGTCATGTGAAATCCGCCAAACTTGTTCCATTGTTTTCTCAGATCAAAACTGCATACTGAGTAGGGGACATTACCTCTTAGCACTTTAATAACGATCGAATTCTTCAGCACTTCTGAATTCTTGGCTTCAACCACTGGATTGAGTTTCACCGCAATACCATCCTCCGAAATTTAACCTTGTTCATTTTTGAAATCAATCTTGATAGGTTTTGGCTTCGATCAGGCTCCAATTACCTCTCCAACATTGTTCTGTATGTTGTCTTTTAAAGATTCACTCAAAGGATCCTTATCAGAATTGTTAGATGATCCAGAATTTCCTTCAATCATAGGGTTGAGATTACCATTGTCCTGAACCTGACGAGACTGATTTATCCTAGAAAAAGAATTAACCTTCAAGACTGTATTCTTTATCTCCGATGATTCAAGATTGTTAAGAGCACAATACTTATCATTTCAAGTAGTTTTCGCAGCTATCTGATCAGCAAAATCTTCATTCAAGATATTCTTACCTTTCCCTTCTATCACCATTGGACGGATCACAGATCGCGATCCTTCTCTAATCACCACACCACTTCTCCCTCTACCTCTAGGAGGACTGGAAGGACTTGGAGATACCATGACGTCGGCCTAGGACGCCAAGAAGCTGCCAACGATGGTGCCACCAGTCGGAGAAAAAACCGCGGGAGAGATAAATTCAAATTGAAAGATGATTTCTCTCTCTAGAAATCTGGACTTTCTCTCTCTAGCCGTTCGATTCCCAAGGTTACTCAGAACAAGGTTATTACCTATCTTCTTCATGTTTCTGCCTTAATTCTTTAGTGGCATTAGGGAAACATTCTACTACACTAGGTTGTGGTTCTTTGTAATCAATTGGAAGATAAAAAAAGATTCAAGGTAC